TTTAAACGATAATGGTAATAAGAACTTTTGTTCCTATTTTATCTAAGCATGGTATATTTCATTCTCTTCTTGAAATTACAAAGAATGGAGAAATAGATAAATATGATACTATTTTAGGTAAAACTCATAGTGAATTCTAATCCTAAATAATTCAGTTTGAGGATATAGAAAATTAAAAATAGCTATTTTATATTGTTATTTTATCTAACATTCTTTCTAATATTTTAAAAATTTGTTAGAAACTCTTAAAGATCTCAGTGTCTCAATGAACAATTGTTAACGTACTGATAAAATTAAGTACATATTCTTTGTTGTCCCTTTTAGTTGGACTTTCATGATATTTTTCATGAAAGCTAAGACTGTATGCATTATTAATATGATTTTTTCTTGGACCTTTTATTGACAACTAGAATATTCAACCAAAAATGCTTTTTTTGGGGTAAGATTTTGAAGATTTTTAAGGAGATAATGTTTCCTAGAAATTTGGACAATATTCTGCATTATTGATTTTATCTGATAACAAAACAAAGTTAGCTCCCTGAATTTAAAGTCTTGAAACTAAATTTTAAAATAACTTATTTTAGTTTTAGAAGAATAAATTATGTTCATTATGGAAATTTTGAAAATATAGCAAAACACACAGAGGAAATAAAAATAGGTATAAATTTGTTATCCGAAAATTACTCTTATTAACATTTTGATATTTCCCTTCTCATTATTTTAAGAAATATAACTACTCTAGTTTTTACTTTTCTGACTGGTTTCTATTATATAATATAGTTGTAACCAAGAAAAAGAGTGAATGCTGTATTTTTTCAGCTAGAAGTTATATTTTTATTATTTTATAAAAGGTTAGAGTTTATAATTTTTAAGATTTTTCTCAAAAATTTGGCATTGTTATGAAGTGAACAGATAAAATAAAACAAGTAATTATAATTATGACAATAATGCAGACTTATCATTAAATATATTCTTTTTTTTTAATTTAACAAATACATGATTTTCGTGTGTGGGTGTGTAAACACTGGTGTGCCACTATAGTTCATGACCTTTATGGCTGGTGAGTAATCAAGGTAATGAAGGTAAACCTGAAGCATGGAAGTTGCTAGAGTTACAGATAGTAAATAAACTGCTGCTAAATTTAATTTTGGTAATTTTTTATCTTTTATTGTGGTAATTTGGGTACCCCCTTTTCCTGCAATGGAGGGTCTAGCTTATCACATTGATATGCCACAATGAAAATTAGTAATTATTTCTTGTTTCCAAAATATCCCTTGTCCATTCTGGACTCCACAATTGAACACACACCTTTTTTGAAAAATAATAGATTTTGTATTTTAGATTTAAAGAAAAATTGAAATGATTGTACAGAGTCTTCAAATGCCTTATTCCCAATTTTCCCTATTAACAACTAAAATCTATAGTTTATTCAGATTTTCTTAGTTTTAACTTTTTATTCCAGGATACCGTTATGACTTTTAGTTGTCATGTCTTCTTGCGCTCCTCATGGCTGTGACATTTCCTCAGAATTCCCTCATTTTTTGATGAACTTGACAATTTTGAGGAGCACTGGTCAAATATATTGTAGGAAGCCCCTCTATTGGAATTCATCTGACCTTTTTCTTGTGATTAGACTGGAGTTATGGGTTTTGCAGAGGAAGACCACAAAGATAAATGCCATTTGTATCACATCATATCAAGAGTACATATTATCAGCGTGATTTTCAGTGTTCATGTTGATCTTGCTTACTTTGTGTCAATGTTGAACGTTTTATTACATAATATTTGGAACACACAAGGAATGTATTATGTATACCTATACATACATATGTGTGAATGGTAATGAAATGACCACTTATGATGCCCCTTTCCTCAAAGATTAATGATACTGTTTTGCATCTCCACTGGAATCAAGAAATGCTTTTCAAAGATCTATTTGAGTTTGCATTTTTAACCTGTTTTATCAATACTTTTATAGAGATATGGAATGGTGATATTAGTTTGAAACCCATAAATTATTTGACCAGCTGATCTTTATACATACCAGAATTTTCTGAGTATATGTGTGTCTCACCATTTCGTTTAATCAGTTTTTAAATTTCCGTATTTCTCAATGAAGTGATCAGTGGAGCTGAGGCAGAGAGGAAAAACAAATATTTAGTGGACTAACATAAGTTCTCACTGAATTCTAATGATGTCAATAAAAAATTGCAGAAGTAATTGAATTCTTAAAAGAATATTCTTAAATTTTTTATTAACTAAAAATATATAAGTTATAGGGCTATCAAAATGAGCATGGAAGATTTATTCCAAGATATAGAAATGTGACTTTTCTAGCCCTAGAATCATAAATAGATTTTTTTCTATTCATATCTTCATTTATTATTGTGCTACTTTCATTTGACAAGTATACACTGGTTTCAAAGAGGCTATACAGATAGCCTTTTTTTGTTTATTTTTGAAGGGGAAACCTTAATTGTCATCATCCGTTGTATGTCTTAATTTAATAAATGAGACTGAGGGGTAGATGTATATTATTAATCCTGTGACATTGTAATTAATTAATCATTAAGAGTAACAGATACATACCTATAGTTGGTTTGTATTTTGTTCAGTTTTAGAATACTTTTTTTTTTTTTAATTAACAACATGGCATGGATGATATCTATTCTATATAAATGAATCACATTTTAAGCCTAAATGTATTTGGCTTTCTAATTATTTATCTTTATATGATTTAAGTCTTGTGATATTCTGGAAACCAGTAGACCATTTGAAATCCAATATTGAAATGTCATTAAAACCAACATGAAAGAAGCCAAGTAGCCACCATCCAGCCCCTTGTGCATCTTTCCCAGCTTCACCAGAGAAAGTGATGGAAAAGAATAGCTTAACAGAGGTGGTCTCTCACCACCATCCTCATGTATGAGAAACTCAGGGCTGGGGCTGGTGGAGGCCTGGTGGTGGCAGTGGTAAAGCTTTGAGAACATTCTTCTTTGTACTATTGTTGAGGTTTCTGGCTAAATATGCTAATAGGAGTAAACAAAGTAACCAGATAATGTCCATTGTTAGCAAATGACTTAAACTGAAAGGGTGATGATACCTCTATCACAGAGCCTCCTTTGCTTTGAATTTGTTATAATTTATGGGGTGTTACCATGTGTTAGGCATTGAGCTAAGTGTTTCATATTCAAAGATAAAATGAAAAATTCTTCACATGAAGAAACATCATCTGGTGGAATAAATGGACAACTAAAAAGACTTAGAATTCAGTGTGTTAAGGAATTCACAGCTGTGGAAACATAGCCTCACCTCACCCAAAAGAGGCTGGAGGACAGGAGCCAGGATGGATTTCAAGAGTCGCTGATATCTGGGTGGAACCACAGAGAAACTACACTCAGCTAAGCTGGGAACGGAGTGGGACAGCATTCCTGGCAAAGGGATTAGCTGGTGCAAAGGGATGAAAGGTTAGGAAAATGGCTTGCTTGGGCAATCGTAAACACTTCTGTGTGGCTTGGAGATTTGAGTGGTTTTAAGGGAGAAGCTGGAAGGATAAGACTTTCCATTACCGGGTAAAGGGCTCAGACTTGATCCTGAAGTTTAAAGGTGGCCTTCAGAAGATTTCAGGCAAGATTGTGATGTGAACAGATCTATATTTTAAAATAAATATTTTGACTGCTGTGTAGGAAATAGGGTAGAATGGTATAAGACTTTAGAGAGACTGTTACGAGATTGTTCCAATAATTCAGGGCAGAGGTCTTATGCTGGCAGCAGCAGTTTGAGTGGAATATATGGATTCAAAAAATGTGAAAGAGGCAGAAGCAGCAGGTCCTAGTAATATATTGAACATGGGGATAAGGTATTAAGGAAAAGGCCAAATTTAGAGGTTGCTTACTAGAGCCCTCTTTTTTTAACATAGCACAGTTATAACACAGAGACCTTAGCGATATTAACTCTGTTTCCACTTTCCCTTTTTTTTCATATTATCATCCCCTCATGGCTTCAAGAAGCTTCAATAATTAGAATAAACATATTTTAATAGGCAATATGATTTCAAAGGCAAAACCACAGTTTAGCAACTTGTGAGATAACTGATTTCACGAATTTCGCAAATTTGCCTGATCTTTTCTTCACAAACAACAAGCAGGTTCCTCCCACACACCAGTACTCATAGTTTATAAGTCTGTTGTTGGAGACATTCAGAAACAAGGCAAAGAAAGACTTGCATCATTGATGAAATATTCACACTTCAGGGAAGAGTGAAAGTTGGTCAGATACTGGATTAAATGAAAATAATCTTTTATACTGTTAGCATTTGAAATTGCATCAGTGTTTTTCTTGATATCTTCATCAAATTTTTTTTTGTCTATAATGAAAAGTGCTTGCAAGAGAATTTCTCCTTTATTTGAGGGACCAAGTCTATCCTTGTGTCTATGATCTGGGTTCTATAGAATGCTGAGTCCAGAAAGCATTGAAAAGTGGTTCCTGGAACTCATAGAAAGAGAGTAGTATGCTCATTGTCAAGGGCTGAGGGATGGAGGAAATGGAGGAGATATTGGTGAAAGGATACAAACTTTCAGTTACAAACTTTCAGTTACAAACTTTCAGTTACAAAGGATACAAACTTTCAGTTACAAAGTGGATATAATGTACAACATGGGGATTATAGTTAACAATATTGTTTCCTTGAAAGTTACTGAAAGGGTAGATCTTAAATGTCCTCACACCCTCCCACCAAACGGTCAGTGTATGAAATGATAGATATGATAACTATTGTCTTAATCATTCCACGATATATATGTATATCATACATCATATCATTGTGTTGTACACCTTAAATTTACACAACATTATGTGTCAGTTATATCTTTGTAAACCTGGGGGTACTTTAAAATAAAAAAACAAACAAACAAACTTAAAAAAGAAATGTAACTCTACTAAATTTAACGTGTGATGTCTTTTCTTTCTAAAGTAATTATTGTTTTATCCTTTCTTTTTAGGAGAAGCAGAAACTACAGGACAGTTTAAGGCAAGGTGCCATTATTATTGCCAACTTAATCAAAGAAAGAAATTCTGGACTCGTTGGTCAGCTACTGGTAGCATGAAAAACACAGAGACAATTACCTCCTGAGTTTTTAGAAATGTTTACCTAAGTATCTCTTTTGTGCTTCCTCTCTATTTTATGTGGTAGAATGTTTAAGTTGTTTTATGTCTTATGATTTGTAGAATATGATGCTTGGGTTATAAAAGTTGATCAATGTTTATATCTGTGAAAAAAAATTTACTTTTGTGCATGTCAAATTAAATTGCCTGAACTGGAAAAGAATAAAGAAGTGGAAGGTAATCGTCTCATAATCTTTTCACAAAGGCATGAAAGATCAAATAGATATAATGATGAATGAGCTAATCCACCAAGGAATAAGAATTTAGAAAACTTGAACTATTATCTCTGTGTTAATTAGTAAATCACACTATAATGAAACTAAATGAGATTCAGAATTATTCTTAATTCTAAAATTGTCCTCTACCATAAGATATTGTGTTCTGACTTTTTCATATTTTTTTAAAAAAAAGACAATAGCACGGAACTCTGGTTCAGATATCTTCACCACTGGCCTCATATTGCTCTAATCCCTAATGGAGATGTAACCTCCTCCTGGTTTTCTGTTGTTTTAAAATTGGATGTTTCTGTTTCTTTGGTTTACGATACATAATTTTGACTCATTTTAAAAGACCTGATTTTTCTGAATAAATTTAAAAGAAGACTTGGAAAGCTTTATAAAAATAAAATTATTTTGATCAATCTTAAATTTTAGTGTTCTTCTAAAAGGCAAAGAGTCATTGCACATCCAAGAACATAATTATTCTTTTGATATAGATACTGGTGTCATTTTAAATCAAGTTCTTATTCTTTTCAATTTTCATTGTGTATACATCCATATTGAATTTAATTATTCTTTTGATACAGATACTGCTCTCATTTTAAATCGAGTTCTTATTTTTTCAAATTTCTGTTGGTATATACATCTTAAATATTGATGATTTTTCCTTACATTATATTTTACGATTATGTACATCCAGTTATTAGAGATGCCTTTTATTTCATATTCACATTTACTTTTTAGAAACACATTAGACCAGATTATTTCAGCACTTAGACTGCATGTGGAAACTATAAAGGTTGCATGAAATGTTTTCTATGCAATATCTACCTTGTAGAATTTCTTAACATTGGATGATTTTTCCTATAGGTCTCAAGTATCTATATTAGTAGGAGAGTTTATATTTTACATTTAAATAATAGTGAGTAGAAGTAATAGACATGGAATAATTATTACAATTCTCCTTAATGAAATGCATTGTTTCATTGTAGTTTGAAGCTAAGTTCTCGGGCTTGCCTCTTTGTCTTTGTCTCTTCAGAAATGTTAAGAAATGTAAAATAAATCATTTAATTCAAATCTTAAGGGTGACAACATATGGGCAACATGTAGATTTTGGTTAGAAAGTCTATGCCGTTGAGGCATTGGGTCGGCAGTCTTGTGAGAAGTTTGCACCTTGCGCATATTGAAGTCTTCAGGCGAACATGTTTTAAGAATTAGAAATTGCTCATAAATGCAAATGAGGAAATGCCATCAAGGTTTTCAAGAGAGGATGGGTGTATGAGACAGGAAACTGGACATATCTAGAGGCACAGCAAAATCACTGTATATGACTTGAGTGCTGGCTAAATTCTTACATATCAGCCTCATAATGGAATGTCATACCAGATGAGAATCTATCCGGGAGCAATTAGTATGACTTTGCCCTATGTAATTGGAAACATTTAGTGTAATAAAATTTAGTTAATAAAATATTCAGTTGTGTCCAAACTAATCACCACGATCATCCTAATTTTATTTTTTTCCCTTTATAGTTTACAGGTTCACAGATTTAAAAAAAAATTAAAGAAATCTCCCCACATCTTTTATTGTTTAGATGGGAAGTGATGGGCAGGGATCTTAACTGCTTTGCCCGGTGCCATTCGGCTGCCTCGTAACAAAAGGCAGGGCCTAAACTCAGGACCACTGATAATATTTTAAGCTCATCTCCCTGTATAAACTTGATTTCTGGCAAAGGACATCCAGTAGAGAGGCTGTGGGAAATAAGCCAGGGCACTGGAGAAAGGGATGAGGAGGGACAGACTGGCCCATTCGCCAGAGGAAAGTCTTGAAGCTTTGGGCTCTCTAACCATCTTTCCAACGTATAGAAATTGTAACCTAGGGTGAAGGGAATGGAGAGAATTATTGACCAAGAGAGAAGGATAAATTACTTGTTTTAATTGTTTAAGAAATCCAGAGGTAACTTTACAATTATATCTTTATTGCTACTTCTATAAACTTAATTGCTTTCATGAGAACTGTCTATTTTCACTTTTATTTTCTAAAATCCCTTAAAAAGAATAGTAATTGTGCCTCAGGGTTGCTGAAATTGCTTTCTACCTGTAGAAAATTTTATGAAAAGACTATTTTCTTTCTAAATATGTGCTAGTTAATAAAATGAAATTTAAAGATAGCCTTTTTAGGAATTTAACAGTGTGATCAATGGTTTAATTAATGACTGATATTGGTAAGAGGTAGTAGTTTTCATAAAAGTGCTCAATTTCAGAGATCTTGTGTTGCAAATAGACATATTTCAGTTTAAAATCAGACCCCCATATTCTACCTGGACCCATTTTTACTATATTCACTTTTAGCATTTTGCATTGGTTTAACAGGAAAACTCT